TAAATGAACGGGCACAGTCAGGTTTCAATAGCCAATCAGATCACGAGTCTGAGACTCGTGATCTGTATCCTGTATCCTGACTTGTTCTTGTCTGCTAGTAGGGCTAGCTAGAAGGCCTTATGTAGAGACTGGCCGTACGCGTTCGGTGATTGGATTAGTGCCGTTTCTGTTTTCTGAGAATTGTATCCTGACTTGTTCAATAAAGATTTAAAAAAAAAAAAAGATTGGATTAGCGTCTGCTTGTCCCAGCAAGGAAAAGGGTTTGTCCGTCATTTTCAGACGAGCAATTATGAACGGTACCCGTGGCTCACAGCCTCTAAGAAACGCTGCAAATTGTACTGCTGGGAATGCCTCTTGCTTGCAACTGACTGGTGCGTTTAAAAACGTTTGGGGACACTCGCGTAGATCTGCAGCTCGGTAAACAGCTCGGCATATATAGATAGATAGATAGATAGATAGATAGATAGATAGATAGATAGATATATAGATAGATAGATAGATAGATAAGACTTGATAAGTGTATAGTTAAGATAAATGCCTAAACTTTTATTTTGAAAATCCATTTGCCTAAACTTACCACAGCCACTTCCGGCGTATGTCTACCATTGCCTGAAGCTACCTCCTCCGAGTCTGCAGCTGGATACTATTGGAATCAGGTGTGTTGCAACAGGGAGGGATGGAAAACACGGAGAATATCGGCTCTCCAGGACTGGAATTGCCCACCCCTGCTCTAAATTGTCCGAAGGTGTGGATGTTTGTCTATTTGTGCCCTACAATTGGCTGTCAGCCAGATCAGGGTGCAGTCCGTCAGCTGGGATAAACTCTTGTTCTAGAATAGTGTTTTTCAAACCCTGTGCCGTGGCACACCAGTGTGTCGCGAGACATTGTCAGGTGTGTCGCGGGAAAATATCCAATTTGTATGCCTGTGCGGTCTGTCACCCAGAAAGTAATCATGTAGTACCCTCTACACCGCTAGGGAGCAGCAACAGCTAGCCAATTGCCTTGTCTTGAACCGACAGACAAGCGAATTTGTGACGCATGAATGCGGGATGACGGTGAAACAATAAATATGAAAGATTATAAAACACTTTTTTCTTTGTGTTCATTTGATTCCAATTCAAGCTGTTTTAATGCCATTCTTAAATGTTAAAAACGGTTATAGTAACAATATAACAATTAATTGTTAAAATAAGCGGGGCTTTTTCACATTTTCGGCTAGTGGTATGCCGCGAGATTTTTTTAAATGAAAGAAGTGTGCCTTGACTCAAAAAAGTTTGAAAAACACTGCTCTAGAACAGCGTGCCTCGATATATATTGACTGGTGACCAGTCCAGGGTGTACCCAGCTAGGATAGGATCCATTCCCAGATGAGGATAAGTGGTATAGAAAATGGATGGAAAGCTATACAGTACTGTACAGTGTACACTACAAAGCTCCCTGGAAAAAGCTCCGCCGGCCGCCACTGGGTGTCACTGTCTGTCGTAGAGCGCAATCTACTGTTGTTTTGCACAAATTTCACAATTTCCAAAGATGAGTGACCCTCTACCTGCACATTTGTGTCAAGATCACAAATGTGAACAGGCTATGTATTGTGTATGCAGTCGTATAGTACTTATGAAACCAATCCTTCTGTTTTTAAAATACTATTAACTGGTTGGTATCCTACCAGCATCATGGAATGATGACCAAAAAAAAAAAAAAACAAGCAATTTAGCACATCTCACCAATCACCAGCAATGTAAAGCATACAGCCTACAATACATAAACATGGTGAAAGGCTTAAATTAATATGTAGGTTACATAGTCAGTCAGAACAAAGAGCAAACGGGGTAAATGTATCTCATGCAGATGACCCAGAAAGCGTGTGTGATTTGTTCTGTGTAATAAATTGGACAGGAACCTTTGAACACTACCAGAACTGCCCTTTTCCAGTTACCTAAACCAGATAAGACCATATTTAAACAGTAACCCCCGTTTGTAATCAATGACCAACTTCACTGCCAGCATACGTGACAAAGTAAGACCATAGATCAGTGGAAAGAAATTTGAGAAATAAAGAGAAATCATAACCCAGGGGAAATACAAAACCAATTGTTTGAGCTGTCACTGAATTAAGATGCTATTAGTCCCACAATGGGGAAATTTGCAATGAATTATTTACTTGTATTATGTTTAATGTTTTGTGGTGAGCAATCATTGCATTACCATATTTTGTGGTGACTTTATCTACACTGTGTGGCATGCACAAAATCTTACATAAATAGTACAAAATAGGGGAGACCGTGGCTTGATGGTACACATTCTACACTTTGAACTATTTCCTGGAATCAATACATCAAATATAAACAAAATGTGTACCAGATGAAAGACAAAGTCTCAGGTATGTATTTTGCATTCATGTCATATTTTGTGTCAGTGCAGACTTAGAAGCAATCAAATGTGTGAACATGTGACATGGTGCACCATCATCAGGTAAGTTGTATCACTATATGTCATAAGATATCACGCTAGATATTGCAACAAATAATGTATGTCATCAAAAACAAGGCAATACAAAAAACTGGTTGAATCATTTGAACAAGTAGCATCCAAGTGATCAAGGGGAAAGCATGAAAAATGCGAGGAGGGATTGCATAACCTGCTCACGTAAACATTAGCAGTTTAGTCGCTGACAAGTAGCAATGATGCTAATGCCGTATGTCAGATCATAACTTAAAAATCATTTTGTTTAAATTATAAGTGTTGTTTATCCTTCCTAATTGGTCAATTTCTTAGTCGTTCACTGTGTTATTTTGTTCTACATTTGTCAGACTGAAGAATAACAGTTTGAAATTAATGTTAATGTTAATAAAATATGTTGAATTACTCCATAATTATCCTAGGTGTCCGTACCAGTGCTTTAAAACTGGCAATTTAAAAACGATGAAAAGAAAAAGGTTGCCGGTCGGCGAACAGCACGTACTTGTCTCAACTGGTCCGTGACACAAAAAAAGTTGGGGACCACTAACATAAAGGAAAAAGACCAGTACTGTACAGTATTCCACTTTTGAGTTGCGCTCTCTAGTGGAGCTAATTGCAAGTTGTCAACCGACTCGTGTGACATCAAGCCCCGGTCTCACCTATTTAGGTACGGGCGTGAGATTCGTCGAAGAGGATTGTTGACAAAATGGGGCAAAAAGCGGCCACACAAGGCTACCCTGGCTGGCACATGGCACCTGGCACCAACCATGGGTGAATGAGTTTATTTCAACTTTGTCATCTCACAGGAAATGTTCACCTTTGAGAAGAATTGATTTAAAAAAAAAATCAATGAAAAAGGAAATACAGTACCATAACGGAAATTTACTGCCCTGGTTCAAGTTAATTGCAGCCGACCCGTTTTGATTTAAATGAACAAATAAACAAAAAAGTACATAAATAAATGGTAGCAGACCAAACTATCATGTTTTATTTCACATTTCTCCAACTTTATTTCGCATTTGCAATGTACAAGAAACATGAGGAACATAACACTGGGGGAATAAAAATAAAAACGTAAGGAAAATTCAATGCATATTTAATTATACGAAAACAGTGGATTTAAAAACAAGCATTTACGTTTTATCTGACTATTCTTTTATACATGACTAAGTGCATGATGAAATCATGATTCATGATTAGTATGCCCTATTTACTGTTTTAAGGAAATACATTCCCTCTGGAAAGTTTAAATTCTTTGCGTCTAAAATTATATTGTAGTGTGAAATGGTTCAGAAACCCAAAATATGAGATGGTGGGGAAAAAAGAATCACGATAAATAAATGTCATTAAATCCCACAACATGGTCCTGCACGACTAAACGCCGGTAAAAATATTATACCTACACGGAAATAAATACGGACGTGACGCATCTATCTTTGGCCAATCACAAAGTAGGCGTCTATCCCAGCATCGTATCATTGGATTAAAGTTCGTTTGTTTCCCCCCCATGTTACTCGTATAAATAACAACCGCAAAATCGGTTAGCACGTGTCTAGACTCCACGTTGACAACCCAGTCGCTCCGTGCTTTAACTGAGAAAACACTGACGCAAGGCCAGCATGTCGGTCGACAGTGTGTTTCGGACCCGATCGCTTGGCGTGGCCGCTGAGGGTCTTCCTGATCAGTACGCGGACGGCAAAGCAGCAAAAGTCTGGCAGCTCTACATTGGAAACACGCAGAGCAGGACGCAGGAGTACAAAAGCTGGGTGGTGTCACTGTTGAAAAAACACGGTGTCCGAAGAGTGCTGGATGTTGCCTGCGGAACAGGGTAAAGTCAGACCGAGCAGGCACGAATACCTGCCTGCTACCACACGCACCAGAATCAATGACATGAATAAGACAATTCAGTTTTGACCTTTGTCTGTCAGCAAAGACGGCTTACCTTTCCAATACATATGAAGTTATATTGTATGTCTGCAATATAAATTCTACATCGGCTTTGACTGTATATAAATTTGGCCCTTTTTAGAAAAAAGTGAACCACGATTTGATAGGCTCCTGTGAACTATCTTTCAACCTGTCCATATAAACATATAATAGACATGCATCCTCCCTGAGCAATCACTCAGATGTGTAATTAAAAAAAACACCTTGCCAAAATGTTTTTTTTTGGGGGGGGGCATTTCAACCCATTGAACTGGTCAAGTGCGGACAACGTTTGAGGATGGAGAATAATGAAAAGTGCAGAGTTGCACCACCCTTTCGTTCAGTTCCTGCCTCTGTGGCAGTACGAGGCTTAAGCTACGTGGCATATAATCACTTCTATGTGACAATGGACCAACACTTGTGTTGGAAAGCACTTTCGTGGGTTGATAAACTGACCTTGACAGCTGCAGGTTACACGTAGTTTTGACTGGTTCACAGTTGTGTGTTTACCTATTGTGATAGTGTATCAGTGGTGAGACAAGGCCACAGTGTGAGCCATACAAGTTAAAACCAACTGCATTAGGCTATTTTTCCATGACCTCAGGAGCCCCATTTGCACATAACTTTGTGTGTTGTATGATTTTGACCCCCTTCCACATTCAAGTCATGTTGAAGTTTTCTCATGGTCTATCTCAGTATCCATGACGGACCGTGAGAGGTGCTGCTGAGTCCTGGAGACTCAAATGTGGACGACAGTTTAGCCTTGGGATAGGGAACTCCGGTTGCTTGAGAGCCATATCTTGCCTGTCTCTTTCTACTTCAACACACCTGATTCAAACAATCAGCTCATCAGCAAGCTCTGGAGAAGCCTTAAATGATCAATTGAATCGGGTTTGTTGGAGGAGCAAGAGATCTAAAACAGGCAGGATATGGCTCTTGGGGAACCGAAGGTCTACTACCATTCATCCCGTGGTCTCCCATCACATTTTCACATTGTCAAGGCTTTCTTCAGATGAAACACAGACACTGGATTGATTTGGAACATATTTGCGGCCCCGGCAGAGTCGAATCAAGCTTCCCTGCCGGAATCAGGCCCAAAGTCGGCATCAGCACGGGGGGCACATTGTGCTGAAATGTAGCCTTATATCAAACATCCTGTATTGTTTTATTTTGTATGACAATGTTCTTTACGATACATTTATTTTCTGAACAACATCAATGCGGTCACCGACCCGTCACACAGTCATTATTACAAGTTTCTGTCTGACTATTTTGACGATTTTTACCAGACAGAATTTCACTGTCGGCACTGCACATTTTTACATAAGCGAAATTTAACATGGTTAAATTTGCTTTCTCGCAAGAGTTGTTTTCATATTTACGGTGAACTCAGTATGATTCTCATTTACCAGACATATGTGTGTTGCATCGCGACGTAAACATGATCAGAGTGGAATGGCGTTACAACTGGCTTTACTATATTTAGTCCCCTAAAGGAGCCCATAATGTTTTCTGTCCCATCTCACTCTATGACTCATTTGCGAGTTACATGGGTGGGTATACGTAGATGTTGGTACATGTACTCGTCCAGGGTGCACTCCGCTTCTTACACAAAGTCAGCTGGGATCAGCTCCAGCTCAACCCAGTGAGGACTTGCACTATCCTGTAGAAAGTAGATGAATGTTTCTCCATCCATTTTCTAATCCGCTTATCCTCACAAGGGTTGCGGCCATGCTGGAGCCTATCCCAGCTGTCTTCGGGCAAGTAGGCGGGGTACACCCATGAACTGGTTGCCAGCCAGGCTCTCCACCCCCAGATCAATATTGTTTCCAGTGAACCAGTGTTAACATGGATTGGATTTTATAATTTGTTTGTCTGCTGGAATGATTTTCTCAGTACATTCCCCTTGTCATACTTAGTTGCTGTTAATCATTGCAGTGCAGTACTTTTCCAGGTCGTTGTCCACTACATATTACCCAATCTGTCTTGTTTTTGTTCAACATGGACAGCAAAGGCTTTGAGGTCAGGTGCAGGTTGTCTCTAAATATTTCAGGTTAAATTGAAAAACCTCAACCCTTAATTGGAAAACCATGTAAACTACAAATACAAAATAACATATTGTTAAATGAATAAACGAATACGTCTCTGACAAGAGAAATCAAAATTATCTTTTGAAAGAAAAAACACACACACACCCTACGCTGATTCTCTTTGGGTGTTTTCCCTGCTTGGTTTCCTCCATTATTATCTTGCCGAGACACTAATTTCATTTCTGTGGTCGCAGTATAAAAGAGACACCACGCAGTCCAACTAATCCACTGCGCGCGCATATATATATATATATATGTGTATGTATGTATATATATATATATGTGTATATATATGTGTGTATGTATGTATATATGTATGTATACTGTATGTGTGTGTGTGTGTATGTATGTATGTATGTCCATCTTGAGGCTTGACTTTTATTAGATTGAGATAGTTCAGAGTGAATAAAATAAAACAGAAAGTCCATTGTTTTGTCAGTCCATATGTTTGCGTTTGTTTGCATTTTCATCAAACCAGACATTCTTAGAGGTACCAAGAACTAAACGGAAGCTCAGAGGGGCTCGAGCCTTTTCAGTTGCTGGTCCCTCTCTTTGGAATGACCGCCCTTTGAACATTCGACAAGCCCCCCCTCGCTGCCCATCTTTAAAACTTGTCTCAAAACTGACTTCTATTCTTTGACTTTTGACTCATCATTAGACTTGAGTTTTAGTTTTACTGTTTTTGTGCTTTCTAGTGTCTTGTTTTCTTGTTCTATATATGATTTTTGCTCCATGTGTAACACTTTGTGTACAGCGTTGGTTGTTTTAAAGTGCTCTATAAGTACAGTTGAGTTGAGAAACTGCATCAGAAGTTTTTCATGAGCCAAGTTTAGCACTCACCAAACCTGTTGACAAAACAAACCACATTTCCTTCTCTGCCCCAGCAGTTTTATTTATTTTTGTTCTCAGCAACTGAAACACATATTGACTTCAGCCTTGGCAAGTTCTGTAAATCTATTTACCTCAAGGTAGGCAGACGGGTATGAACACGTCAAAGCAGTTCACGGCTGTTCTCGTAACATTGCTGCTATGCCTACCCACGCAGACCAGAATGAACCAAACATGTCAGTCCACGAAACCACCTGTCAGCATTATATGTAAATAAACACATTAATCTTAATCATCACATAAAATAGGTGATTACTGGATTCTGTTCGTGGAACCATCGCATATGTTGTTTCCAGAACATGTGCTTTTTATTTTGCAGGGTGGACTCCATTATGTTGGTGGAGGAGGGCTTCAATGTGGTGAGTGTCGATGCCAGCGACAAAATGCTCAAGTATGCACTGAAGGCGAGATGGGAGAGAAGAAAAGAAGCAGCGTTTGACCAATGGGGTACGATATTTTTGCTGCCATAGAACTTCCGTTTGGAAATAACAAAAAGTTTGTCTTTTTCTCACCATTTTACACGTCTGCATATTTTGTGCAATGTCCTCTGTCCTCATACATACAATAATGTACATGTACTTTGTTGAATACAGTATTTAGTTGTGTTCTAGCGTGACACCAACAACCTGAAACAAATGCTTCATTAGGTGCTTTATTCAGTGCTCAACAAATTCATTAGACTACCAACAAATCAAAGCTTTATGCTGACAGTTGTAGGATCAAACGCACGTTTGTACAATAAAGGTGTGTATATATGAAAAAGTATTTGCCCGCTTCCTGATTTCTGTGTTCTTTGTATATTTACGACACACAAAGGTTTCAGTTCATCAAACCAATTTGAATATCACATCGAGAGAACCCAATGAAATAGAAAATGCAGTTTCTAAATGCCAATTTAATTTATGAAGGCACAAACCTACGTGAGCCATCCATCCATTTTTCTGAACCGCGTATCCTCACAGGGGTCGCTGGGCATGCTGGAACCTATCCCAGCTGTTTTCGGGCAGTAGGCGGGGGTTCAACCTGAACTGGTTGCCAGCCAATAGCAGACGTGTAAACACCCTATGTGAAAAAAAGTAATTTCACCCTGAACCTAATAATGGGTTGTGCCACCTTTGGCAGCAAATAACTGAAATCAAGCGATAATTGGTGATGAGTCTTTCTCATCGCTCTGGAGGAATTTTGACCCACCTTTCTTTGCAGAATTGCTTCAACACCGCCAAATTGGAGGATCTTCTAGCAGAATTGCCCATTTAAGGTTACACCACAGCATCTCAATTGGATTCAAATCTGGACTTGGCCACTCTACACATCCATCCATCCATCCATCCATCCATCCATCCATTTTCAACACCGCTTATCCTGAAGAGGGTTGCAGGGAGTTGCTGGGGCCTATCTTAGCTGACTTCGATCGGAAGGCGGACTACACCTGAAACTGTTCGCCAGTCAGTCACAGGACATAGATAGAGACAAACGACCCTTCACACCCACATGCACACTGTCAATGAGTAGGAACCGATCCCATACTGCCCGCAAGTGTACCACTACACCAGACATGTCCAGCTCCGGGCCTGGAGGGCCACTGTCCTGCCTGTTTTCCAGCTCTCCCGCCTGCAACACACCTGATTCAGATGATCAGCTCTGAAGCAGCATTAGAATGATCCTGATGATTTGAATCAGGTGTGTTGCTCCTGGGAGAGCTGGAAAACAGGCAGGACAGCGGCCCTTGAGGACCGACTTTGGACACCCCTGCACTACACCATTGGCGACTGACTTGGCCACTGGTGTGTTTCGAATCGAAGTCCTACTGCATGATCCAAGGGCACATGAGTGTGAGGATCGGACGTTCTCCTTGGGCCTTTTCTGGTAGACAGCAGAATTCATTACAGCAAGTTGTCCTGGTCCTAAGCGAGCAAAGCAGCCCCAGACCATCAGACTGCCACAACCATATTTCACTGTTGGCATAATGTTCTCTTTTATCAAATGCTTTGCCATTTTTACACCAGATGTGACGGGCCGCACATCTTCCAAAAAGTTACATTTTTGTCTTGTCAGTCTACAGAATGTTTTTCGAATAGTCTTGAGGATCATCAAGATGTAGATTGGCAAATGTGAGATGAGTCTTTATGTTCTTTTTGGGCAGCGTGGGAACTCTCCCATGAATGCCATTTTTGGCCAGTGTCTTTCTATTGGTAGAGCTGTGAACTGAGGCCAGTGAGGTCTGGATTTTGTTGGGTGTTGTTTTAGGTTCTTTTGCAACCTCCTGAATGAGTCGTAATCTTTGAGTAATTCTGGCTGGTCGACCACTCCTGGGAATGTGTGCTAACTGTTCCCAGTTTTATCCATTTGTGGATAGTGGCTCTGACAGTGTTTAGCTGAAGCCCCGATGTCTTGAAAGTGGCTTTGTAACCTTTTCCAGACTGATGGATTTCAATAACTTTTTTTCTAATTTCTCCTTTAATATCTCCGGATTGTGGCATGATGCATTTGTTTCTTGGGATCTTGTAGCCCTGTTCACTTTGTCTGACAGATGTTATTTATGTGATTTCTTGATTTTCTTGATTGAGGAAATGTGATTGTAATCAGGTTTGGGTGTGGCCTGTGAAATTGAACTCAGCTTTCCCAAAACTGTTTTGGGGGGTTTACTTTTCTCATAGAGCCAGATAGGTTTGAATATTTCCCCCCTTGGTAAATGAATTTATCAGTCAGAAACTATTTTATATTTTCTTGGGCTCTCTCCGTGTGATATTAAAATTGGTTTGATAAACTGAAATCTTTGTGTGTGATAAATACGCAAAGAACACAGGACTCAGGAAAGGGGCAAATGCTTTTTTACGGCACTATACACTATAAATGTATGTATACATGTACTGCGTTTACATAGATTTTATTGTATTATAATGTGTATTTAATGTATGTACGGTTAAACTATTGTTTTTCTATGTCTGTTTTTGGGGGTGTGGGTATTTTGCAGTGATTGAAGAAGCCAACTGGCTGACGCTCCCAGAAGACATCCAGAAACCAGGAGGAGACGGTTTTGACGCGGTTATTTGCCTTGGCAACTCATTCGCCCACTTGCCAGATTTTAAAGGTACATTATATGGTCCAGTTAGTGGTGTTTATTTTTTCAGTAGCACTTTTTGTTGAAAACAAAGCTTCTAATCTTCTTGATTTGTCCGCACTTGTTGACACGTAATTGAATGTATGAATCTTGTCACAATAAGTATCAGTAACCACTGGACTTACATTATTTTAATCAGAATAAATTATTCTATTTTATAAGGCTGGACAATATGGCTGAAAAGTGTATCGCGATAAGTATTTCATATCAGTCCATATCGATGATTATTGAATTTGAGGTTAAGACAACTGAAAAAGTCAAATTAAGTGGTCAATATAAAAAATAAACACTTTTTTAAAAACACAATAGGACTAAAATTAGTAGTTGCTGGGCTGGGCGAATCACAATCTCATATTTCAGATCAGTTTATTGAAAATTATTCATATTATTTTTTTCCTAATTTCAATTAAGAAAAACAAAGCGATTGAAGATACAACAAAACGAATTAAAGATAAAATTACTAAAATCATTATCAAGAGGAAAAAAATCATTCAAAAGATATGATATAAATTAATTTTCAAGGAATGAATGTACACTATTTTAGTCTAGATTGTAATGTAGTGTAATGGGCCATGTTGTTAACGTCCATGCTCCTTCAGCAGCATTAATTCACTGACATTAACCTTTTGTTTGCTGTTCATACAATGTCAATATAATCAACTACTTTCTTCGAGTGCACAGTTGACCAACCGTTTTAGGACTACTTTTTAGTTAGTTCAGTGCCAGAGGACATTTGTTCTGCTTGTCTGTGAAGTGCAAGGCCGGCGCTAGCATTTCCTTCGCTTCTACACCACGTATCCATCCAAAGTTGTTAGTCTATACCGGGGGTCAGTAACATGCGGCTCTTTAGTGCCGCCCCAGTGGCTCCCTGGAGCTTTTTCAAAAATGTTTGAAAATGGAAAAAGATGGAGAGAGAAATATATATTCTTGTTTTAATATGGTTTCTGTAGGAGCAAAAATATGACATAAACATTCTTCATGTTTTCCAATGCTGTAAAAATGTGTTGAATAAACAATACATTTCAACATTTCTAAAAATGAGGATTTGCGTCATAGCCTGCGACACACGTTTCTCAGGACAGGATGCCAGGCAGGTGGCTGTTGTAAAAAAAAAAAAAAAAAAGCTGCGTTTCATGTACAATTAACCGAGGGTACTGGCAAAGAATGGGAATGTGAAGGGCCAAGAGAAGTTCACGCGCTGCAAAAGTGCATCCCATGCCTCGATCATCTAAGGGTCCGTTTTGGCTGTTTCTCATTATGACGTGTGTGTAAGTGCGTGCGTATACGCGCGCGGGTACGGGTCGATCGGGGGAGGTTGGTTGATCAAAAAGTAGATTTTCGGTCAAAAAAGGTTGGACACCCCTGCTCTACAGGATGCACTGCAGGGAAAAACAAAAACCATTTAATCATGAAGCCACATTGTGTATTTGTAGCCGACTTAGTCATTTTGATAGTACGCTAAAAATAGATACATACAGCATATTTTGCCTTCATTGTAAGGCTTATATCAGGCTTTTAATACTTTGCAGTTCCAGACATATTTGTTTGTTTGGTCCAATATGGCTCTTTCAACATTTTGGGTTGCCAACCCCTGGTCTATACAATATAATGTCTTTCACTTTAGCATACAGTATGTATGTCGCACGCTCACGGGTGCCTGCATTGCGTGAGCGCACTTCTTCACTTTTTGGGCTCATCTTCGCTGGTTTGGCAGACAAGGTTCACCAAAAACGGCCCTTTGTGCACTCAACACATGCTTTTGTGCTCCAGACTTCTTCTCACAGACTTGTAATTGTGGCACAAATCTAACCTCATACTTGTGGCCTTTGCCTACACACATGGAGAATGCCAGCGTTGGTTGTTTCCTTCTTGATTTCTCAGTCATGACATTGCGTTGTGTCGCTCATAGGGGACCAGAGTGACCAAAAGTTGGCTCTCCAGAATATCGCAAGCATGGTCAAACCAGGTGGAATCCTCATCATCGACCACCGCAACTATGACTACATCCTAGAGACTGGGCGGGCACCGCAAGGAAAAAATGTTTACTACAAGGTATGAAGGGGAACAGAGTTGGGTATATTTGTTACAGAATACAATGGAACCTCTGACGCATGTTGCACACTGAGCGATGTGGCCAAACGGGACTGAAATGGAGTTCCGTGAAACATTTGCAATTGGTGACTCACAATCTATCAACCCACTGCACTGGAAAAACTGTGACCCTATTTTGGGTTTTGAGATTCCACATACTGTTCTGTGTGCATACATATATACATATATGTATGCACACAATATATATGTGTATATATATATATATATATATATATATATATATACAGTGAAACTCCTCTACAACGAAATCATGTTTGCAGCAAGAAATTTTTCACAACAGGGGGTTTTTCACTGTAGCAAATTTGATCTCAGATGTAAGCACACACACACCCACACACACAAACGTATGTGTACACGCACACACAAACGTTTGTGTACTCTATTTTTATTCCAATAGTACATAAGTATGAGCACACACTTATTTGACACTTCATATTGTCAGTGTAGAAAGAAAAAAAGGGAAAGAAATTGCGAAATTTACGATCAGCATTCACTTTCACTTACATCAATTTCTTGGAAAATGTATTTTATTTTGCTTGCTCCGTCTTTCATTTTGATCACTTTTACCCTCTCTTCCAGCATCAGAGCTCTTCTTGTCTTAGCTGCTTGACATCAAAAGGTCCGTTTTGTAGCCATTTTAGCAATGCAACGTCCATCCTCGTCTGAATCTAACAATAACAAATACTTCCTGGCATGCAATGAACTTTTAAGCCAGCCACGGGGCGCTTCGTAGTCCTCGATGGCCATAGTTAGCTCTCGAAGACTAAAAACCTTACGCTAACTGGAGCGCTAATGAGAGAGAAGCGCTCCAGTTAGCGTAAGGTTTTTAGTCTTCGATTTTTAGCCTTCGAGAGCTAACTATGGCCATCGAGGACTACGAAGCGTCCCGTGGGTGTTTTTAGCATGATAAAAAGTAAAGTAAATGTCCGTCGAGCCATAAGCAATTTACTCTGAGCAGCTAATCGGATGCTACGGATCTAGCTTCAGTATCTACACACATAGACAGTGAGGTCTATGTGGCCTCTTGGCCAATCGGAGGCCAGGATGATGCTCGGTAAGCCAATAGCAGAGCAGCTATGAGTATGTTGAGCCCAGGAAACTCGCAGCTGTGACCGAAATAAACATCGTTCACTATGTAAACCAGTGTGGTGGTTGCTGTTGCCTTTTTTCGAACGAAGCAGTAGAGGTCGCTGTTGGATAAGACTTCGTTGTAGTGAATGTCTTCGCGAGGCTGGAGCAGACAAAATGATTTCGTATAACGCAACAGGGGGTTTTTCGTCGTATGGGGGGCAGGAGAATGGGAATTGTGTTAATGCATGAAGATTTTTTCACATAAGGGGGTATTTTCGCCCATGCAGGTTTCGTTCTAGAGGAGTTTCACTGTATATATTATGTGCATACATGTGTATTTTTTTTATTGAACCAAGAACATGTCACGGTTGTCAGAGAAGAAGATTTAGAAAGTGAGCAAACAGTTGAGAATAAAGGAGAGTGTGGATATTTCGAGAGGCTGTTGGCAAAGGTCACGTTCTCCACCAATTGCACTCACATGGATCTTGGTAAGTGAGACTATAATATAGCAATAATATTGTAAAACACAAAACGTACACATGGGGGAAATTTGCTGAGGCCATGGAGAATGACATCTGGACATGTGCGTGGAAATCCTGGTCCACCATCCCGCGGCGCAGAAGGGGGAAGTCGTGCCAATCAACAACTGTGTATAGTCTAGTTGGGGTGCTTCTGACCTTGACTCGGGACGTTGTGAGTCAATGCGGACAATATTTTGAAGACCTCCTCAGTTCGACTGACATGTCTCCCTAGCTGGAAGCAGTGTCTGGGGCTCTGAGGCGGGCCCTGTGAGTATGGGGTAGCCGTGCGCATACTGGATCTGTCTCGCACAACCGGTGTGAAGGTTGGACTCCCACAAGGTTGCCCTGAGCGTGCTGCAGCCTATCCCAGCTGTCTTCGTGAAGTAGGCGGGGCACACCCTGAACTGGCTGCCAGCTGATTGCTGGGAATAATCTGCCTGCAGAAATCACTCCCCAGTGCAAATACTATTAGATCCAGGTTAAAAAAATGGAATGTTTTTCAGTGTTATATTTTTAATTATGTGAAGCACATTGAGTTACATTGTGTATGAAATTCAGCATATTAAAACTGCCCAAAGACAGCTGGGATAGGCTCCAGCATGCCCGCAACCCTCATGAGGATAAGCGGTTCGGATCACGGGTGCATGCAAATCAAGCTGCCTTGCCTTGGCATTAATCCTGAGTTAGGATGTACTCTATTCATTGTGGAATTGTTTGTTTTGTGTTTTGCAGAGCGATCTTACTCAGGACATTTCCACTTCTGTGCTGTGGGTAAACAATAAGCCGCATATGATCACTCTGGACTACACCATCCAAGTTCCTCAGGCCACTCCTCAGAGCCTGCCTGAGGTCAGGTAGGTGTCATGGGATTGAAAACAGCAAGAAGTTTGTTAACTCACTCACTGGTCACAATATAAGGTACAAGTAGTCACATTTTCTTTTGCCATTTCTTCCGACAAGGGCTCTTCAGTGTACGATGCTGTCCGCATTTGAAATGCAGAGGTTACAAACCCCTACCCAGTGAACTCGTTTTCCCAGCCACTTAAGAATTCATTATCATACGGCACAAGAAAGGACACTATGTTACCGAACACATATTTGTTTTTCATTTAGTTGTTGTATATTTATGTTTGCTTTACGACACGACTGCATTTGTGTTGGACACGACTGCATTTGTGTTGATTCGTGATAGACTAAGGTGTGGTCCAACTTACTTATTTACAACTCTTGTTTACATTGCCATCAAAGGAACAGAACTTTGACATAAACCAAGGGCCTCGTGTACAGCCATTTCTTGGCCTAAATATGAGACCTTGTTTGCACAGTTCAGAAATATACATAGGCCGCGCCCCCTCCTGGCTCAAGCAATCACTTTTTCTCTGACGTATTCGTATCAGTTTTACTTTCTTGAAATCACATTTTACTCCAAAATATAGGAACTATGTTCATATTCAACTAAATAATAACAAAAGTGCAGTGCGTGCACAGTTAAATGTCAGCCTGTTAAATGGTAGTTAAATGCATTCCAGCCACACACAACCTACTCGTTGAAAAATCTTGTCATCCACTGCCTCCTTATCCAACCCAGCGATGGCCTTTCCTGAGACTACTTTTCAGACCTGATCAATGGCCTCATGTCACCATGAATGAATTCAAACTTGTGTAATTATCTGCATGGTTTCGCCTACACTCGTGACTTTGCTCGTCATCACTTCTCTTGAAAAATATTTGCTTATATTTTGTTCAAATCAACATGGTGCGGAACGGTTGCTTTTTGGAGAAATTAGACCATTTGGTTACAAAACAAACAATGTCAACCAGTTTCTAAAATCCACAAAATGGCCCAACACATTCATAGCATTATTATTATTTTTTTTAAATGAAACACACAATTGAGAAAATATTTGTTCAAAGGTGATCCATCTCACCATCTCCATGGATGGCATAGCTTTGCTTTTCTGCCAATTTCTGTAATTATATCAGCCCCTTCACTAGTGCAATCATAAAAATAAATTACCTGAGCAAAAACACTCCTGATCTCGCCTCAATTTGACCATTCGACAAGAGCGATTAAATTTCCTATACCTCTCTTGCATGTGTTTCTGCATGAAAAATACTCTCTGCTTCGCTTTTGTGTACTGCTTTTGCGAGACTGTGAGTGGAGGACCAACTGACCCAGAGCATCAAATTGCTTCTCTGCCGTGGCTTAACCACAGTACATCATCCATCCATCCGTTTTCCGATCGGCTTTATCCTCGCAAGGGTCGCGGGGCGTGCTGGAGCCTATCCCAGCTGTCTTCGGGCACCAGGCGGGGGACACCCTGAACCGGTTGCCAGCCAATCGACGGGCAAACAGAGACGAACAACCATCCGCGCTCACACTCACACCTAGGGACAATTTAGAGTGTTCAATCAGCCTGGCGTGCATGTTTTTGGAATGTGGGAGGAAACCGGAGTACCTGGAGAAAACCCACTCAAGCACGGGGAGAACATGCAAACTCCACACAGGAAAACACAGTACATCAGTACATGTTAATTACAGTGAAATCCCTCTCACTAATTTGGCACGTATACATGCGCGGCACATTAACTTTACACATTATGTGCCGAATTTACTAAGATCCTGAATAGCAAGCACTGAATGACGGATTGCCTTGCATGGTGTGTTGAAGATGTCCTACTTATAAGAGGGTTTTGCTGTTTCGGTAGCTCTGATGTTTTTCGCCATGAAGGTTTGGGAGAGCACTGCAAGCACAAAATAAATTTGGAGTAAGAGAACTGGGAAGTCTGAGCGTGAGTTTTAGAAAATAAATGGACTGCGTCTAGTAATTTGGGGGAACCAAACAACTGTATGAAGTAACGCTCTGTTTGATTTAACTCGCCCTGAGCGTGTACCATTTGTACACAGATATGTGCCCATCCTGTGTCGCAGTGTTTGATAAAGGCATGGTAATGAAGTCGAGAGAGCCATCTTCAAATGTGTGCTCAATGTGTGTTCCCAGTAAATTCCGTCTCTCCTACTACCCTCACCGCCTGGAGAACTTTAAAGAACTGCTGCATGAAGCCTTCAACGGCAAAGTGGATCACAACGTCTACGGCGATTTCATGGCATACGTCCCTGGTCAAGCTCATGCGCCGTGCTACTTCATCCACGTTTGCCAAAAGACTGCATAAGCCACACAGAGAAGACTAGTATGGGAATTTGTTTTCGGTTCAACCAGTGATTCTCCCAAATTTCGTGTTCATTTCATCTGAAATTTTAAATCTCACACATTTGATCTGGTGAGTTCAGCTTTCTGATTAACTTTCCGAATGAGTAGCTTCAATTAACAAGGTTGCGCAGTATCCATTTAGCCACACAAAAAAATGACGGATTTAGCTGTCTGCTATTTTTTTTCTTTTTTCTTTTTTTTTTTTTTGACAGGTACGTAATTCTTTTTTGTTTACCAGCTGGATCTTAAAACACCGCTAAGTTCATACATTGACCTTTTTTTGTCAGGGGAAAAAAAGCTTGAGAAAAGCTCTCATGTATACAATTTTCTGTCTTTTAGGTAAGCAATCTAATCAGTTCAACTTGGTTGCAAGGTTAACTTGTGTGTTCTGCTCCTCTGTTTCAATTTACATTTTGAGCTGGAAATCCGGCACAGTTGTTGACATCAGACCGGCAGGAATGTTTTTGAGAACCGACCTGACGTCTTGTAGTTGCATGTACACTTTCCATTCATCAAGATGTTTTGAGCTCAAAGCCCCTTGAAGGCCAAATGATCAAACGTGGTGACTGGTTAACAGCTCTCACTGTCTTTTGGCTTCTGACAATAGAACGGTTCCTTTTTGACTCGGTTTATGAATGAAGCAGAAAATAGTGTCACTTTTGTGTGATGGATGTGGGGGAAAAAAAGAATCCTCTGCTTAATTCTGTATTACTTGGACGTGCTGTAACGTTTGAACACACGATCATCTTCAAACCTGCTTTCAATCAAAGATTTTTTTTCATTTTGTCTTTTACTTTCCTCAGTCTTTGATTTACACCTTGCACAGAAATTGACACGTGTTGAGAAATTTATTGGCTTATGTTGATCCTAAACATGCAAAATAAAATGCATGGAGAGAGGACAGCGAGAAAATCTCATCAAGGCTACTGGCCCCCTGTCGTTTGTCTCACGGCGTCATAGCAAATCCGTGTCTATGTTGAAATGTGTGGGACTGTACACATGATTCCTTTTATAGCAGAAGGCTGAAATGCATTGAGTGAAGGCATTTCTTGAGAACATTTCACAATAGTCTTATGTTGCTGGTTCTTAAAAGACTTTCAGTTGTAAGATGTTGCATAAAAATACATTAAATATTTTATTTTGTGCCGGTGTGTATGTGTTTTTTTTTTTTAATTTGCCTTTCAAGTTGTAGAAGAGCCGTTTCACATTTGTATGTCCTGCTTACTACGCTAGTCCAGCTGTTCAGTTATGTTTGAGGTTATGTTATAGTTATAGATGGGCATATTTATTGGAATATTTCACAAAGTTAGCTGCTCTGTATTGGGGTTTATGAGCAATGATGTCAAATGAAGGTGTTATCAAGTAAAAGTACTGTGATCAAAATCGAAACACGTATTAAAATTAAAATAGTCCCCAATTAAATGGATGCTGCTGTACATTTCCTTTGTTACACTGTACATGGAGAACCAGACTGGACATTAGTCATGTCAGGAGACATGTCAAGAGTGAAGTGGTGCTTTTGCAGCCTTGTCCAAGTTCTGATAAAATTATCAATGCATTTATCGTGTTATTTTTATTTTTAGAATACTGTATTGGTTATTCTCTGGAACATCTATCGTCCACTGGAGGAGAGGTGAAACCATGCACAATACAGATTAGGCACAAGAGGGCAGTATAGCATAACAAGCACTCAGCGGCAAATTTCTTCAACCCAACTAGTCAAAGAAATCACGGCATGTTTCGAAATTTGGATTCAGCTGATCTTTATTGTCTTTGTAAAAGCACACTTTTTTGATTTTGCAGGCAAGCTGAAAGTTTTTGTCCAAGACCCAAATGTAGGCCGAATGTATTTAAAAGTCTGCACCTACTTTCAGAATTAGATTTTGGAGAGTGCAGCAACTAATTCCCATGTGTGGGGTTTCAGCCTCAAAATTAAACACCTCCTATGGCAAAGAGACATTCCCAGCTCTGTGTATTTTCCCCGAAGTCTCGCGGCGCCAGGATTTTGTCTCTCGCGGGAATAAGGGGAGCTGAGAAGAAAATCGATTTTCACGACCTCACTTACTTGAGAGGTTCTCTCGTGTTTTTAAAATAAATATATAATACACACAAGTGGTGCGCGGTAGAGACGTGTATTCAGTATAGGTATGAATTTGCCGGAAGGTAGAGTAATTATGTCGTTATATCTCCTTCCGCGTGTACTGCTAAGTGACAGAAATACGCAAATAGTACAGTATGCCCGCACTACCTCCATGCTTTCTCCCGTTCTTATTGGGGAATTGTTGCACAAAGTTACTTAGGGGTTGTGGTTGCTTGTTAGGAGTTGAACGGCGGGGTCATTTTTGGAATCGCCCTCCATTGTAGACTGGGATATTTTTGTGTGTGTGTGTGTGAGTGTGTGTGCGTGAGTGTGTGTGTGCGTGCGTGTGCGTGTGTGTGTGTGCGCGCGCGCGCGTTCGTGTGTTTTGATTACAAAGCATTCATTGCCGAGATGGACTGCCAGCTAATTAACTAACCTTGGCGTGTTCGAAAATTCCCTCTGACGCCCATGAACTACTCTGAAGTGGGTGTGTTCGGAGAGTTCGTTAGTTTCCAAACGCATTTTGTAACCATTCACATAGCCGAGTGCATAACTTAGTTTTTGGTGCACTCTGATTAGCCAAACGACATTTTCCAGTAATGCTCAAAAGGCACTTTTCCATGAGCTCGGCTCAACACTGAGACCACCTTGCTCGGCCCTACCCTGGATGTTCACTTTTCCATGAAACTTTTTCGGGGCCAAGTGGTTCCAGTGGAACCGCTTTTCAGGACCCTCTCAGGGTGGTTCTAAAAAGCCAGCCGTGTGGGGCAGAGCGGGGCATGTCCTTACTGTAAATTTATTGTCCGACAACGATGCCGTAAGGAACGCCACCGCACACGCCCATTTTGTGGTTTTTGACGAGTTGCTTGCGGCCGTTGCCAAAGTCATGAAAATACAGTGTATACAATAAATAAAATGGTGCTGACAAAAATGCGGAATCATATTGACAATTCCATATGTACTAATGGATGCATTTGTGATGATTAATGGTTAAGATCTTTGCAAGTGCAGCACACCATTTGCTCGTCGCACCACCGGCCTAACCCCAGCCTCTGGGATCTTGACCTAGGGTGGCCACGGGAGAGCTTCAGAGTGATGACGACGGACCGTTGACTCGGAAAGGCAGCTCAATGGCCGGAAGGTAGAGTAATTATGTCGTTATATCTCCTCCTAACCCCAGCCTCCGGGATCGTGACCTAGGGTGGCCACGGGAGAGCTCCAGAGTGATGACGACGAACCGTTGACTCGGAAAGGCAGCTCAATTAATGAGAGTGAGCTCTTCATTCAGAATGAATGACCGCTGACAGTGAGTTTGCATGCCGCTTGCGAAATCACTATCTCACTATTTCATCCATGGTCCATATGAAATTGTAAACGTAGTTCAATATTGTCATAAGTCACAAAATCCGTATGCGGTGTATACACTGTATTTTTGTCTTGAAGGCGGCCGGGATTTGATTTCTCATCGACGTGAAAGCTTCTGTCCATTTAATGCTGTGTACTTGCCGTCATCGCCACATTACGCAATGGCAATTCATATTTTGAATCCCCCAAAACAGTGGCTGAGACTCGCCATTTATAAAATGCGATGCGTAGGTCAGCACTACATTGCACAGTATAGGTCACAGGTGTCAAACTCAAGGCTCTATCCAGATCCGGCCCGTCACGTCATTTTATGTGGCCCGCGAAAGCAAATCATGTTTGTCCACTTGCATGATCCTCGTTAAAATCTGTACCAAAATGTCAAATTGTCATGGGTAGTAAATCATGTTGAGATTTTGCAATAATTTTGTGAACAGGAACAACAATTGAACAAACTATTATAGTTGACTTGACTGATTTCAAAACTAGTAATCCATTCATTTGTTTTGTACAAGTAATAATGCGATGAGACGATGAAAGATTTTTGTGGTTTCACTGTAATAACGGCCCCCCGAGGGAGGGTGTAACTCCAAAGTGGCCCGCGACAAAAATGAGTTTGACACCCCTGGTATAGGTGATTCCCCCCCATCCAACCTGTCATGGTAAAGCAACAGAGGCTGTGTGGTGTGGTGCTGGACATAGGAGTGGTGTGCTGTGGGGCTGATCGGGGATAATGGAAAAGTGGCATAAGCTTCCAAAAGATTGCATTGAACCAGTGCGCACTCTGAGCTAATTTCAGAACGTGCCCGGAATGCCCAAGTATCTGAAGGAATCACTCCTCCAATCGCTGCCCGCCAAACAGACACAGGATACAGCTGCAGCAGAAATAGGAATTGTATTGGAACAGAATAGCTGCCTACTTGTTTTTAAACTGAAATAAATAAATTGCTGGGGGTGGGGGCAGAAGAGAGGTTAGACAGATTTCTGACGGGGCTACAGCCCCCCTAACCCCGGTGTAGCGACACGCATGCCCCTGAGGTATCCTGTCAGACTTTAGTACTAGACAGCCACGCAAGTGAGCTAATACACAAAACAGATGTGACAAATTTTTGCCAGATGTGGCTACTTTGCGTTGCTTGAGAATCAAAGAAGTAAACAGCGGTTTTAACGGCGAGAGTCGCTTTCACAGCACATCATTGGCCAAATCAAACAAAAACAGAGTGAGCGCAATTGGAAGAGATTGGTTAAAACAGTGAACATTTATTTTGATGTGCTTTAAAATGTGCTTTTAAAACACAGACTGGGAAACGGAGTGTGCATAAGATATTTCCTTGAAGTTGATGTTATCTTGGAACCTCAGACAATAATTTGAAAAGTATATATTGAGTGTCTTGAAAACATTGACATATGTAAGGACTCAGGAGGAATTTCCGAGTGCAACCACGTGTATATGATATGATGGGTTGCTATTTCTTCCACTGACTGATAAGGCAAAAGAAAAGTGTGAGAAAAGTGGGGATTTTTTCTTCTTAATTTTTAATAGTAAAATGAACACAACTGTATCTCATGTAGCATATCGTCACCAGGGAAGTTAATGACACAAAGAGGCTGACCGGAAGCCCAATGCTTGCCACACAATCCACAGAAAGGGTTTCATGAAACACGTCAATCTTCTGCCACCTAAGATAAAGCACAGACACACTTATAACAATACAGGCCGGGCAAATGAAAGATTTGAAAAATCTACGTTTCTTCTGGGTTAGATTCTAAATTGCATGGTGAAGTTTTGTTGTTATCAGCATCCCATTCGAATGCTTGCTGCAATAAAGGCGTTAATCCTTTTAGTTTTGTGTCACCCGTACTTCTATGAATGCGTGCTTAATTGATTCAATACATCTTTATTTAGATCGCACTTTCACAACAGCTGCAGCTGTAACAAAGCACTATACAAAACAGTTAACCCACAATAACAAAATAACACAACACATAACATAAAACACGGACAGTCATGCTATCTTAACCATTTTTCCCCGCATACGCTTTGTGGTTTGAAGCAGTTCTCGATGAAAGAGGAGAGAATCAAAGTGTCCTTTCACCAGTGGATCAGAGACGTCATGTTCAAAATGTGCACACTTCTGCTATGAGCTAAGTTTGAAAGTCAACAAGAAGCCGGAGCGTCCATTGATTGAAAAAAGAGAGTGGTTGACTTCTCCTGTCCCATGGAAATCCATTTCAATTCAAAGTGGCGACTCTCAGTTCCAACCACGCATCCACGCCGACGCTCCTCTCTCCTCATCCTCAGCTCCACAAGCCATCCATCTAACCACACCAGTGCAGACTGTTCAACAGCGCCGACATCTCCGCTAAACAAAACGGGGCTGTGAAAAATGCTGGCCATTCCAGGCACAAAAAACACAAGCACCCCCGGGGCTGTCCAGCAACTACAGTCAAGTAGCGCCGACATTCCTCCCAATGAAAATCAGTGCTGGTACAAGCGTGCTGCAAGGAAGGCGCAACCACCAAGCACAGATTCTTCTTCTTTGATGAATGTCGCGGCCCAAAACGCTGAAAACAGTCCACACCGGATCCACACGACGTAACAGCAAACACCATGTGACAAAACAAAAGACAAAAACAACAAAAAATGCAAAGCTCATGTGACAAAACAAAAGACAAAAACAACAACAAAAAATGCAAAGCTCTTG